AAAAATTTTTTGTATAAAAAAAAAATTTTTTAAAAAAATTTTTTTATATTTAATATTTTTAAAATTATTTAAAAGAAAAAAAAAAAAAAAAAAAAAAAAAAAAAAAAAAAAAAAAACTGAAAAAAGCTGAAAAAAAAAATAATTTAAAATTTAAATATTACATTGATTAATCATTGTCCTTCTCATAATCACTATTATATTCCGTCGATACTAAACTTCTACTTCTTCTTTCTCTATTTTCATTATTCTTCTCGAAATTGTCAGCATAGTTTTCATTATAACTATCATCCTCCTTTTTGAAATTATTCGTATCTTCACAGACTGGAGAGTAGTTAACATTACTATATCTTTCAATGTATAACTTTAACAATCTGTTGTACCCTATTCTTGTTCAAGCAGGGGCATTCACAGGTATCTTTTCTTCGTTTGGTACAAATTTGATATAATTATACACTTGTTTTCTCATTCTGCGTACCTTCGAAGCTTGGCTAAATTCAGTATCTACGTAATTTTATAAAAAGGTATGCAACTATTAAAAAATATTAATTAATACATGCCGATTGAAACCAATGATATAATAACATTCATTACTTACCATTAAAGATAATGTCTCTAATGACGATTTTTTATTTGAGACTTTTATCGTCAGTTTTTGATATCTCCAGACTATAGTATCGATTATCAGTGAAGATCGGTTGGATTTCGTCATTATAAAATTTTCCTAACAACTGATCATTCAGTTTTATTAATTTGCTAATTATTTTAACCTGTCTTTCTCGTTTCTAAACGGCAAAAAAAATTAGATAAGATTAAAAAATAAATAACATGATCCTTTATTAACCTCTATATGTCATGAATTAGCGTGCTTTCTCCTTTTATCATTATCAGTCCACTCAACACTTCTTTTTTGGTTTAGAAATTCTTTCCGTTAATGACAGTGGCATTCGTGGATTATATGTTTGATTATGCCATTCACTACCGAAAACGTTTTTTTGTTGATCGATTTTTATACTATCAGAATGATTTTTTGGTTGACCAATTTTCATTGGCTTTCAAACGTTTTATTCATGTCTAATTTTTGACTTTTTGGTAGTCTGTCTATAATTTCTAATATTTCAGACTTAATCACAAAAATACATTAACTATTAGCAAAAAAAATTGATAAGTATAAAACAAATGAAAATAAAGAAAAGATTACCCTTAACGCATTCCTTAATTTCTTATCCATTTCATCATAAAAGAGATAAGTATAAGAGAAAGGAGCAGGAGAAGGAGAATGAGATGATTGAGATGATAATGAGTTTCAGTTAGTCTTTTTCTGACCCTGATTGAAAAGATTTCTTTTAAGTTCAGGTCATCTTTTTCGTGTTCGTAATTTTTCCAATTGAGGTCTATTATCAAATGTTTTTTTCTGGCTTCTACCTCTATCATCATATTGTTCATAGGCAGAATCCATGATATAAACTGAATATGATGAATAAGTCTTTTCAGCCATGTTTTTTGAAGAGCCAGGCTACCCGTATCAAGGGGTTGATGTGGAAAAATTTACTTTGTCATTCGTCCAATCAATTATTGTGTCTTTTGGGTCTATTTCCTTTTGTTTTCCTCTTGCAATGATCATCATCAAACTTTTAATTTTATCTACTTAGGCTTGTAAAGTATCTATTGTTTGAAAATATAATCAGAATGGCCATATGTATTATGATCTAATTAATATTACATGTATTATATAATAAACAATCATACCGATTGATTTTTCTTTCTCTTTTTCTTCTTCTTTCTCTTTTTCTATCTCTTTATCTTTTCCTTTTTCTTGAACTACATTGATCAAACTGTTTTTTTTCTTTTGTTTTGATTGATATGGTTCTTTACGAAACTTCTCAGAATCAGTTTCAGAATCACTAAAATAGAAGAAAATAGAAGAAACTAATAGTAAATAGTAATAAATGAAGAGAAAATATTAAAAATAATCGATTCATAACTAAACATACAATTTTTTGCCGCTTCTGTGTTGTTTCTTTAGAATAGGTTTCTTCAAAGAACCACCTTTTTTTATTTGCTAAAATCGATAAAATCCTTTTACGTTTATCTCTATCAGAAGACTCTTTATCATATAAAAGATGTTTATTAGATTTTTTGTTAGGCATATTTTGGAAGATTTTTCTTTTATTTGGAAGAAACTTTTAATAAAAAAAGAGAATATGGGGTCTTTTTATATGTTTCTAAAAGAGTATTGATATCAAACTTTTAACTACAGAATAATACAGTCATTGGAATAAACTTTCTTTACATTAGTAATAAATCGGAAATTTTAGTTGTAAAAGTATTAGTAATCATTGGAAGCAAACTTTCAATGAATCAGACATGTTAGTTGTAAAATACTAGTAGTCATTAAAAGCAAACTTTCAATGAAATTTTGATAAAAGTACTATTAGTCATTATAATAAAATTCTTTGAATTGGGAAATTTTGTTTGCAATTGTTGAAATAATAGTCAATGAAAATAAATTTTCTTATGGTAGTAATAGATAGGATGGGTTAATAAATCTATCTGACTGATTGGTAACATTTGGACTTTTATTTTATCGCAAATTTCGTTCTAACGGATAATGAAATTTTGCAATTCAAATAAACTTTAAGCTTTTTATGCAAATGATAATTTTACAAAAAGCACAATAAAATCAGAATAAATTCAAACCTAATATATTAAATTTTACCTTCGAGATCAATCATAAAATTAGCATTAGCTGCATGCAAGCATATTTTATTGATATTATATACTGATTGATTTAAATAAAGTAATTTTATGTGAATATATTTTATCAATATCATATACTGATTGATTTAAATAAAGTATTTTACTGATATTTATATGCTTGATTCAAATA